CTTCCCAATCCATCCCTTGCCCACTAGGCTCCCTCTCCGCTCTCCCCCTTCTACATAGCCTGAGGGAAACTTAATCAGGGCTTGCTTTCCCTGATTCCTGGCTTGTCATTATGTTTGACCCAGGAATCATGGGTTGAAACAAACTCTGGTTTGTTAATTAAGCCAATGAAACATGCCAGGGTTTGTGGTTGGCCTGTTTAGTTGTTTAATCATTCAACGAGAGCTGATTTGAAACATCTACCAAGCCAAAGGGAGTGGGAAATCTTGATTAAGTCTTCCTCCTGGCTCTACAGGAAGCAGAAGGGAGCAAGGACTACCTGCACCTTGCAGAAGTAGAACTGTCCTTCCCATTTGGTGGGGTGAATTCCCTGCCTCTGAGGTGATGGGGGAAGGGAGCCACCACATGCTCCCGCTACCAAGGAGGCCCAGAGCCATCTCACAGGCCCTGTTCTCCCTCAACAGCAAATAGCACTGTGGGAGAGCGGACAGCAGAGTCTCGTGGAAGTGCTGCCTTCCTGTTCTCTGGTGGCTTCTGGAGCCCCCTCATCCACATTGCCTCTCGCCGAGGAAAGGCCACTCCTCAGAGTGAGGCTCTTATGGCACTGGCCTTGATGGCATATGCTCAGGTACTGCTGATGAACCCCTGAAGGTTGGGGGTTAGCTTAGAGCTCTTCCTGCCAGAAGAGGCATTTCCACCTTTTACCTGCAGGAAAACATGTAAAGATTGGGAACCACAAATCAGCTGATGGCTGATGGAAAGGAGGAGGGACTAGCAAAACCCCAGAGTGGGACCACAGGGGAGCTGAATGTGCCCCTCGGGCCTGAAGTTCAGTGCCTATTTTTGGCTGGGTGAAAAGACTGATATGATTGATTACTGAGTTGTTCCAGTTTTATAAGGATAAGGCAGTGTACATTCAAAGACATTTGGTCTACACCCTGTCTTACAAACATTAAACAGAAAGTAGCATACTTGGTGTGGTTCCTGTTGTGCATCTGGAAGAATATCTGGAAATCACACATGATATTCCCAGTGGGAACACCGGAAGCTTTCATATATGGAGTCATATTGGTTTGCCCACCTCAGTATTGTCTACAGCAGGGGTGAGTCCATTGTTGTACCTGTGGGAACACCTGAAAATTTGAGAAACTGTCTTGGGCACAGTTACAAAATTTCTGCCATGAGTGGACATAGCTAGTCACTAAGGACAAGCAACCTGTGCAGAGGCATTATGGGAAATCAAAGTGGCAGCAACTAGAGTTCCCACTTTGCTTTGAAGGAAATTCAGCTGCCAGGAAGAATATATAACCATATTTCAATATTTTCATGGAAGCTGCACAGTGTCTTGGTGGGCACCAAGGAAGGTCTCTTGGAGCACCATGTTACCTACCCATCGTCTACCAGTTAGGCTGAAAAAATAGTGGCACAGCCAAGGGCATCAAGCCCATGCGGCAGAGTAGTAAGAATACTGGAGTAAGAGCAAGAAAACCTCAGTCTGTAGCCTGAATTGGCCATGAAGCTCACTGGATGGCCTTGCTCCAGTGAAATGAGTAAGAGGACAAATGCTCAAAGACGTAAAAGCATAATTTCTTGATACAGGCCACCACACAGTTTGCAGACTTTCATCAGGGGCAAACATCAAGGGAAGAGTCAGGGTGATGTAGTGGTTACAAGGACAGGACTGGGACTCAGACAACCTGGGTTCTAGACTCCACTCAGCCCTGGAGTTCACTGGATGACTTTGGTCCAGCCAGACTCTCAGCCGAACCCACCTCACAGGGTTGCTGTTGTGAGGGTAAGAATGAGAAGAGGATAATTAAGGATAAAGGACAAAACATAAATGTACAAATGTTGCAAACATACTCAGTCAATTTACTAACCGAATGGCTATCCTTCAAGCATCATCTCAATTTGCAATATCTTTGTAGCATTTTTATTCCATCAGATTTCCCCTGTCAAAGCATTTCCTCTGCCACAGTCTGCAAAATACATTGGGCCTAAAATATCCAAGTGGTACATACACACCACTGACGATTCATTCTCCTATTGCTTTTCCTTTATCCGGGATTCTTCCCTTTTGGTCTTCACAAGACTCTCTTACCACACAGGTTTGTTGTGAGGATAAATAGAAGGGCAGGAATCATGCTTATCCCCTTGAGCCAGTCTCGTTGGCTTCGTGATGGAGCAGAAGTTTAAATCTGGAGCTGCTTAGTCCCAGTCCCAGGGAGGGTATCACTGCTTGTGCAGCTCATGTATCTGATGCTCAGAATAATAGGAACATCAAGGGCTGCCTAGAACAGGGATGGGGAACCTGCAGCTTGCAGGTCAAATGAAACCGTTTCTCCCCCAAGCCCTCCTCATTTCTGCGTGCTGTCACTAGGGAATGCATCCCCTTCTATTCACTCCAGTCACCGATGGAAAATAACCTCAGGGATTCTCCACTGCATACCTCTCATTGTTCATTCAAGATGGTAACTGGAGCACAAAGAGAGTGCCCAATTTGTCCATCAAGAGGAAGAGATGATATATATGTAGTATTCCTACATCACCCTTTGAAACTAACCAAGATGGCTTATAAACTTCTCGGAGCACAAGAGCTGCATGGAGCGCCTCCTCCAGGGGCCAGTGATGTCTCACCTCCAGGCAGAGAGTGTGGAGCTCCATGCCTGTCTCTACTTGGCTCAAGGTAGCATGGGGGGTGGGGGGAATGGACGTGATCACAGGAGGGGCGCATCAGGGCAGGGGCCTGTCCCAGTTACCGTGAGGCCAGTTTGACCCCCAGGATGAAGGTGTTTCCTGTCCTGGTTGAGAAAGGGAAGGTGAATAATGAGGAATTGAAGGGAAAGCCTGCTGTAAGCATATGCAGGATGCCCTGGAACAGGCAGGAACATTGCTTGGAACATGTTGTATTGGAGGGACCATCCTGAAAAGCTTTGGTTACAGGGTGGCATAGAGACATCATAAATAAATACATAAGAATGGCAAGGAGACCTTTTGGGGATAAAGGTGAGAGGGAACAGACTGAATCTGTGACAAAAGACAGAAGAGAGCCAGAACGAGACCATTATGGACAGGAAATAAGGGGCTTTGGGTGTAAGCCTATGACCCATCCTTTCCCACGTTGGCTGGGTAAGATGGGAGTTGCATCCCAACTTATCTAGGGAGCACATGGTTGAGGAAGGCTGCAAATATTACATTTATTTGGGACAAAATCTTGCTGGATGCAACACCACCTACTGTAGAGCAGGTAATCATGAGATTGTTCTAGCAGCTGTCAACACTAAAAAGATCAGTCCGTAATGCGCATGCGTGCTTGTGAATCGTGGCACAGAGCTCTGGAAGACAAGGACCATTGCTGCTGAACATGCATGTACATTGTTGACCACACCTACAAATACTCTATTCACTGGAGAGGACTGTTGTTCCAGCTGGATTATATAAGTGATGTTGATTTCACACTTCCCAGATAGGGAATGAAGACAGACCCTGACACTCAAGACCGTGGACACTGGTAAGTAATCCTTATTATATTTTGTGTATGTATTTCAAGTCCAGTACATTTGTGTGATCCAAAACTTCTTGTATTAATTTCACAGGCATTTTAGACACACTGTCAATTTAACATATATTTTAATTCTGTCCCTGTGCTGGCTCTACAGTTTTATTTCTCTGTTATTTTTATTTATTTATTTATTTATTTATTAAAACATTTTTATGCCGCCCCATTCGCCGAAGTTCTATATCCATAGAACAGGTATTCTCTATGAATATCTAGGACTTGTGGCTCCCCCATCACCCAGGTAATTGTTGAAGCCTTACCAAAACAAAGCAAAAAACCAATCTTGGACTTTCCTACTGAAATAAATGCAATTCAGATTTTTACACAGCTCTTTATGTTAGTATATTTACTTTGTAAATTAGGGTTAGTATTTAAATTAATTTAAACAGAGATACCAGGCTTGTAAATCAATAACTGTGCAAATGTTTGGCTTTTTTTTTTTTTTTTTTTTTACAAAATCTCATGGATGTGATATTCTCATTCCCATAATTTCTTTCTTTTTATATATTTGCAATAACAGGAAATTTAAAAAGATATTACAATTGAGGAAAAATGAATCTGGAATAAGAAATATATTCTTAGCAACTGTGAGAAGGAAAGTTTCTTCCCACACATTCATTATAAATTCTCATTCTAACAAAGAACCCTTTTATTTGTTCATTCATGTAATCAATGCTTGACTTTTATTTTGAAAAACAACAACAAAAATACACAGTTTTAAAAAATCAAAAGACCAAACTGGGACTGAGCATCATTTAGCAAATAGACAATCACACACACAATGCCATGTGCTTATATGAACATATCCTTGACACAAACACAGACATAATAAATTAGTCCAGAGCACTTTGTTTCAAGTGAAAGTAAATGACTGGAAGAGCAAATCCTTAACTCCTTCTAAGGACATTTGTATAATCATCCCAAAAGAGTATTATATTTATCCAGAAAAAGCTGAATGGGTTTATAGATACAGAAATCATATCTAACCTAAATTAGGTCCCTTTAACAATTTGCTGTACTTCCAACCATAATGAGTTAGAAGGTGGATCTGATCCACTGTTTGAGTACATACCTGAAGATGAAATGCAGATTTTGATATGTTCTAGTGATTAAATATAGAACTACAGTGAAAAGAATTCCAGAAAAATCAATCCAGAGGAAAAGCATGTGTATGTAACCAAAGCAATTGCCAGCAACCAAGAGGCTGTACATGTTTAGCTCAGTGCATTAGGCTACAATAATCTTCCATCAGATTGGGAGAAAGCCTCTAATGATTCATTCCCTGTGATTCTTGGAAGTCTTGCAAAATGCTGTGCAATTTTTCCAGGTAATTTACATTCAGGAAATATGTCACATTATTTTCAGCTAATGATGCCGTGTTATTTTCAGCTAAAGAAGGAAGACGGAAACATTTGAGGCGGGCTGAAGCGGCAGGCGAGGAGAATGAGCTCTGCTGCCGAAGCCCCTGTGCCAGTTCCGCTCTGCTTTCAGCTGAATGGCTCCTGCCACAAAGCCCTGCATCCTACAGGGGTCCAGTTCACCATCGACCTAGTCTGTGCCATGGGCATGCTATTGACAGTGCTGGGGAACCTGCTGGTGGCGATTTCCATCCTCCACTTCAAAGTACTTCACACCCCCACCAATTTCTTGCTCCTCTCCCTGGCACTGGCAGATCTTCACCGGGGCCTCACATTGCTTCCCTTTAGCATAGTCTGCTCGGTGGAGAGCCGCTGGTATTTTGGTGATGCCTTTTGCTGACTCCATACTTTCCTGGACACGCTGTTTTGCTTGACCTTCATTTTCCACCTTTGTTTTATCTCCATCGACCGCCACTGCACTATCTGCTGCCCGTTGCTCTACCCCACTAAATTCACCACCCGGGTCGCTTGCATCTACATCGCGGTGGGGGGTGCCTCTGGTTAAATCTCCGTCTTCCTTTACGCTTAACATTTACAGCAAAATGGTGAAGGAAGCGTTAGGTCAGTTCTTGCAGGATCTGCCCTGCGTTGGTCGCTGCCAGCTTCTGTTCAATAAGCTCTGGGGCTGGATCACCTTCCCTCTTTTCTTTTTCCCATGCCTGCTCATGATAGACTGTATGTCAAGGTGTTCACTGTAGCCACCAGGCAAGCCAAGCAGATCAGCAGCTTAAATAAGGGAGCTGCAGGGTCTGCACATCCCCTAGGAGCCCTTAAGAGAGAAAGGAAGGCAGCCAAAACACTGGGGAAAGCAATAGCAATCTACTGGCTGTGCTGGTTGCTCTTTACCATTGACACCATGGTAGACGGCCTGCTCGATTTCATTACCCCACCCCTTGTGTTTGATGTTCTTATTTGGTTTGCTTACTTTAATTCTGCCTACAATCCCTTGATTTATGTGTTTTCCTACCGTTGGTTCAGGAAAGCCATAAAGCTCATTTTAACTAGGCAGATCTTCTGTATAAGTACATCTACTGTAGACTTGTATCGAGAGGAAGGATCCAGTGGCCACCGAGTGCAAACAACGCAAGCTATGTTTTAGCAAATGCTCTGCTGCCCCAGCCTCATCTGGTACAAGTCAAAGGTACAGCAGTGAAGGCCAGTGCAGTTATTTAGGGACCTGAAGCAGAAAAATCCTTTTTTTCCCTGTAAAATAATGATTCAATAACTAACAATTTGCTGCCCTCCAAAGAGATCCCAACATTTTCATTGCTTCATTCTTCCTAATGGTGGGGGAACAGCCCTGATGGCAAAAATCCATTAGCCCGTTTGAACAGTAACATGTATATAAGCAGCTGCAAAGAATGTGCATGACGGTCACTGCTCATCACCTTTTGAGGTGTTTCAAGGTTGCCATCATATAATTTGTGAAACATATGGAATAAATTGAACATGTGCAGGGCTGTTGTGAGGATAAAATAGGAAGAGGAATAGGTGAGCCACATTGAATTCGTAGCAAATGGGGAAAAGGTAGAATACAAAAGTAATAATAAATGGATCCAAATCAAATTAAACTGGTTTAATCAGGACACTAATCAGCTGGAACTGATGATCCTCCCAGCATCCTCCCAGCATGTTATTTTTGTATTTTAACTTAATGTTGTGAGCCGCCCCGAGGCTTCGGTGAATGGGGTAGCATAGAAATGTTTTAATAAATAAATAAATAAATAAATAAATGTGCAGGGCAGGGACAATGTAGAAGCAAAAGCAGCCCTTCCCATTCCCCTCCCCTCCCTCCCCTCCTGCAGAGTATGCTTGATTTCAGCCATCAGAGTGCAGGGCAGGGCAGACAGCTGAGGCGCTGCCAGGGTCCTGCTGCCATTTACAGACTCAGAGTGGTTCTTCCTGTGCTGGTTGCATTTGAGGAGCCTGTTCCAAGGGCTGCTCCCCAGCTCTGATGTCAGAGTGACTCTGCAGTCTCAGAACTGGGCTTCTGACTGACCTGCTGTCTAGGCGCCGGTCTAGTGGCCAGAGGATTGCAACACCTGTTGCCTCGCTGCTGGACTCCATGTATACCTGGTGACCGCACCATTTATTTATTTATTTATTTATTTATTTATTTATTTATTTATTTAAAACATTTTTATGCCACCCCCATCGCAACGAAGCCTCGGGGCGGCTCACAACAGAAACAAAATACATAAATAAATAACAATATAACAATAAAAAAATTATTTAAAAACCTCCGGTGCATCTTGGCTAAAATTTTAAAATCCTATAAATACAAATAATTTAACAATTAAAATAAGTTTTAAATAAAAAGGTCTTAGCCTGGCGCCGAAAAACAAATAACGACAGTACTAGGCGGACCTCTCTGGGGTTTAGTCAGACTGTTTAGTCAGTGAGTCAACAAACCAAAGACATGCCTGGGCTTCTTTAAAAGATACTTTGGTGTGCTACTACAGTAATAAGGAATAAAAGAAAGAAAATATTAAGGTGACTTTTATTTTCATAATTTGAGCAAACTTTTAAACTGCTTTACACATACTTCAATATTCTGAAAATCATCCATATTGAAGTTTGGGAAGTACAGATATATTTAAATGTAAAGAGTTGATCAAATAAAGGCAGCAAGCCTTTTTTTTCTGCCAAAGCCTTCTGTAAGCTGAGACAGAAAAAAAGTCCCTCGTTCCCAAACTTCGTAGGTTTATGCTCTAAAATGATTCACACAGGTGAACACCACTTGATACAGGTAAAGGACTATCCTACTTGGTTTTAGGAGATTCGTGCACTGGATATTATTTCTGCTTGGAAGCAGGGGAGCAGAATATCTCTGTTTATGATGCCATTTGTGGCTGCATTCCTAAGGCCTATCACTAGTCATCATTTCTTAAGAATTATCATTCCTCTTCTTCGATAATTCTGTTGTCTGCAGATAATGAAAAAAGTAGATCTCTCAGGAAATAGATTTTCCTTCCACTTTATGGCCTGAAGAAATATGTAAATACCTGGGATGTGTTTGCAATTTTCAGCTTCACTTACAATTGCATGAGCAGAAAAAGCGGAAATCGTTGATCCGCTACAAAATGTGCAAGCCTATTCTTCTGCTCTCTGCTGTGTCCATGGAAATAATTCACTATCAAACACGTTGAAAATCATGAAACAACAGTCACCTATTCAGTTTTGTGCAGATGTCATGCTTCCTGTATACTAATCCACAGGGATGAGATCAGAAGCAATTAATATGCTCCAACGCACCTCTTTCCATTTCCGTTCTCCAGTGTGAATTTCTGCCTCCTTTAATGTTCAGGGTTAACCATGGTTAGCTCATAGTTTCCTAACTCACATCTAGCCATTCTTGAAGACTGTTAGGGGCTAACCATGGAGGATCATTGGCTGACTGTGACTGGCAACAGCTTCCTGGCAACAGACTCTTACTGACCCATTCTTGTCTCTGCACTCATGGGAGGCCAGTGCCTCAGTGCCCAAGCATGTGCTTTTGATCTGTCGCCATCTCAGTGGGGCAGAAGTAACAGCCAGCAAGAGAAAATGCCACTGCAGACATAATGTGCATCAAGGCTACGTTGCAACATTAAAGGGGGAAGGAATCTACGCATGAGAGAAGGAGAGGAAGCACCTGCTGGCACTCGCACTCCTAATCATGGTTAGAAAATTGGCTAGGTGTGTGCCAGGGCTTAGACTTGGGAGTTGAACCTTAGACCTGCAAGCCAGATCCAGCCCAGCCCAGTCCTGCTAATGGCTCCTTCCTCTGGCCCTGCCCCTTCCTCTACCCACCTGTTCCTTGCTGGCTTCTTAGTATTTGTTTGTGCATGTCTCCCTTTCTAAGAGGTTGAAATGCCAATCCTGTTACCTAGTTACAGACAATGGGAGCCTGAAGGTAAACATGCTTTCCTTTGCCTTTGGCTCTGGTTCTTTTGTTTTTGGCCCACTGGAATGTGGCCCTTGAGAACCTTGGTTTAGAAGAAGTTCAACCCACACACCCTGCCCTGCCATACACTAACAAAAGAGAAATAAAGTCATTATTCCCTTTCTTACATTTAGTTGTTACCATCCGAGTGATACTTGTTTCTCTTTCCTTATTTCATGCCTTGAGTGTGCATCAGACTTAGTCATGTTTAGAACCACTGAAATCAGATGATTGTCCCTGTGCTCTTCTTATTTATCTCATTTTTATGCCACCCAATAGCCAGGGATCTCTGAGCAGTTAACAAAAGTTAAAATTAAACATTTAATCTCTCTCTCACACACACACATTTAAAATAATTCATCATAGCAATTCATAATAGCAAGTGCAATTGCCCTGATTTAGCACAGAAGCATGGCCACAATAAAGAAAAAAATGTAATATTTTATTGGTCATGGTTAAAAAAAGGATGCTGAACTAGAGAGATCTGTTGAGTAATCTGGCAGGAATCTTGCTATGTTCTTAATTTTGGTCCACAGTCTTACCATACAATGTTCCTTTAATGTATTCAGGAAAGAGGTACAGAACTGCAAAGATAAGTGCTGTGAGTTCTGATTAAAATCACAAGAGACTGGCTATATTTTGAAAAACTGGTGACTTGTTCACATTTTATTTCAGCAATGTATAACTGGACATGCCATTAGCAAAATGTTCCCTACTTTCATCCTAACCACTGTTGGACAGGTGAAGTTGGCCTGGTTTGCTTGTAGTTCTCTTTTAGTTTGATCTTCCTCTGAATCCTATAAAAATGAAGTAAGACTGTCAATTGCCTGTTCTAAGGAAATTTCCCTACAGATTGTTCCAGTGTAATCAATTCTTTCAATCCACAAAGTGGAGAATATGGGGGGGATTCTCTGGCTTGTTTAGCTGATCACAGCAGATAGAGCTGCACATCTGGACTTCATGGCTTCTGGTGAGCATATGAGAAAGATCTGGAATAAAGAGAAGTGCCTGTCTCTGAGATTAAAGCAAGGATGCGGTTTGTGGCTCTTCAGATGTTACTGACTTCAGCTCCCTTCAGTCCCAGCCAGCACAGCTAATGGTGAGGGGCTGTGGGAGCTGTAGCGCAACAACAGTTGGAGGGCAAGTTGCACATCCTTGAAATAAAGAATACCTATCAATTGTAAGGATGCTACTCTTATTTGGATGGGGTCCTACAGAATGTGAAAAGCTGTCCCAACACATGGTCCCAAGGCAGAATTCAAAGAAATGCAGCAGTAACGAGCGTAGAAGCTATTGTTTCTAAGCAAATTGCAACTCACATGAAAGTTTCAACTGAACTTTCTGTTTTTCAAAATGTTATTTCTCATATGTCTAGTAAGGTGGTGATGATAAAGAAATGGCCTCTCAGGGCTTGGGTGAAGGAAATGCTCCTCATTCTGACTATGAACCCCAGGAATTACTAGAACACAGAAGGCTTGCCATCAATGCTTATTTTTATCATGTGTTTTATTTGTGTATATTAATATCACAAAAGACTACCATGATCAGATATAAGCATTTCAAAATGAAGATTAAAAAGAGGGTGAAGGAACAATGAACTGCAATTATAAAATAGTAGAGCAGACAGTAGCAATGACTGTAAAATTACAGCAAAAAATGTGAAAGCTGCAGACTATAAAAGCCCAGGAAAAACCAGTAGGGCTTCACTTAGAGTGGAAAAGACATCAGATGTAGGCCTCCCTGAGGATGGCATTTGGAGTAGTACCACTGAAAAGACCCAGACTTTGCACATTACCTACTTTACTTCAAAGGTGAGTTTAAAAAAAAAGTGTGCTGAATATGATAGAACTTTCTTATCTACCAGGTGTTCAACTTTGTCCTGGAAACAGATTGTGTAAGTGAAAGTTGATGGTTATGTTTTAGTTGACGGGATAATGAAATGTTGGGTAATGTATTGGTCTTAAAATGTTCAAACAGAGTAGCAAGGTGTGCTTTGGCAAGTTCTTGAATGCCTGATTCCCACATGATCTGTCTCCAAGAGAAATGCTTACATCAGTGGAGTCAACATAACAAAGACAGATTCTAAGAAGTGTCACATGCCCTACAAAATATAGGCATGTTCCTGGAATAACAAAATGAGACACGAGTCATTGGCTTAACTAGAGCCACGGATT